AATATAACAAAGAGTGAAAAATTTAAGGGGGTCTGAATACTTTCCGTACCCACTGTGTATATATATATATATATATATGTATATGTATGTGTGTATGTATGTATATATATATAAAAATCCAAATTATTTTTACAAATATTTTTAATATTTAAAAAATAAAATAAATGCAAGAACCATTTTCAGAGTATGTGTAGGTCCCCTTGTGTGTGTTTGTGTGTTATGAGTGGCTGCTGTTCATGTAGTCCAAAGCAAATTTCCCATAGTGGGGCAATAAAGTATATTTAATCCAGCACAGTTTATCTGTAATAATTATTAGCTACATAAGAACATTTAAATTGCAATGAAAATATGCGTGTTAATTCTGCTGTGAAATTCCTGGACTACTGTGCCCTTTTTATAAATATGTCTACGTGGATGCAAACATGACTATGTGTTCACAGAGGTGTGTCTGTTTTTAGGAGTGTGTGTTATGTGACGTAAAAGTGCAGACGTTTGCATGTATTGATCCTGTTAGGGTGTGCAGTTCTGTGTGTGTGTGTGTGTGTGTGTGTTCATGTATAAAGTGTGTTTCTCTCTAGAGTGTCCTTGTCTGTCCCCTTGATTTACAGCGTGTGCATGAGTAGGAGAGAATATATGGCCACTTTGCAGATGAGGCCAAGGTTTATTGCCGCAGTATCATTTAGCTAATGGACATAATTTCTATTCTGTGCTGCTTTCTGTCTTTCCTTTCTCTATTTCGTTCAAAACACTTACATTTTATTTACATTTAAACTGTAAGTATTTTGGGAAGGTACTTTCATACCAAAGTGACTTGTCGAGGCAATAATATTTAAGTTGAGCCTCAAATGTAGCCACAAACTCGAAGAGAAGTCAAGAGTAATAGCAAGAGTTAGGGTTGATCGGCTAGGCTGCAAATAGGGTTCACTAGAAAAGACAATAAAATAGCCTGAATGATTAATTTAACGAATTAGATTTGATATATGATATGTAAGACTTGTATATTAGTGAAGTCAAATGCCTTGTTGGTGCATTGGCATTCACTCTGAGAAATATACTTTCTTTTTTAGTAAAAATTGCAATTGTATTTTATACAGTAGTTGCATATTAGAAGCTGTATTTATCATTTCCCACCTTTGTGTAATATTTTTTGATTATACAGTATAATAAATTGAATATATTGTGCCTGCTGAGTGCTCACTAAAATAACTTGCATCTCCTAAGAGTCATTCTTGCACAATTTAGGTGATCCATTGCTGTCTGTAATGTGATGTTGTGTGATATATTCTCTCTCTTTACCTCAGGATATCTTCCCAATGGGATTCATGCTGTTGAGGCTATGCTCGCTGCTGCCAGTATAGGTGCCATCTGGAGTTCAACCTCTCCAGATTTCGGTGTCAATGTAAGAGCTTTACATGCATAATGGTTGCTATTTTACCATATGACCACTATAATATATAATTTTTTTTAATCATATAAAATATACATTAAGTGTTTAGCAACCACTTCCATTTTTCTGTGAGATGTGGATCATCAGAACATGTCAAATATACAGGCTAGATCAGGTTGGAAAGGTATTTCACCTTTCATTTTGATCCAGGGAAACCTGAAAAATTGGTCAAAGTTCAACATTTTTAATGATGATCATAATAAGACAGATTGCACACATTTGTGCACAGCCACTTAATTTTTTCATGTACACTTCATACCATTTTAAAGTTTGGGGTCAGTAAAATTGTTTTAAATTTGGTTTAAAAAAAGTAGCCTCTTGGTAGGGTTTATCCAAGGCTGCATTTAATACAGTAAAAACAGTAATATTGTGAAATATTATTACAATTTAAAATAACTGTTTTCTATTTGAATATATCTATAAAATGTCATTTATTTCTGTGATGGCAAAGCTGAATTTTAGAGTAAATCATTGCTCCAGTCTTCGGTGTCACATGATCCTTTAGAAATCATTGTAATATGCTGATTTTGTGCAAAAATATCTTATTATTATCAATGTTTAAACCAGTTGTGCTACTTAGTACTTTTGTGAAAACTGCGATACATTTAAGATACTTTCAATAGAAAGTTCAAAAGAACGGCATTTATTAGCATTATAAATGTCTTTACTGTCACTTCAGATCAATTCAATGTATCTATGCTGAAAAAAATATTTAAAAAAAAATGAAAAATTCTTGCCGACTCTAAACTTTGAAATGGTAGTGCGTGTTACACAGAAAAGTATCTCATGTAGCAAATCGTTTGGCTGACTTCTTCCAGTCACTGAAATTTTAAAGTGCCAGATTATTCATTTTAATACATAATAGATGAAAAACCTGACACTGATGGATCCAGTGAGTGGTGTGGAGAAATCCTTTCCTGATGTATGAATATCAGATTTGGACGTCGGCATAAAGAATGACTCTGAATGCCCTCGGCTGGCAGGCATTGCTGTACCACGCAGACCCAGCATTCATGTGCCCACATGCCTTCATACTGACACTGGGGCAGTTTGTTGCCATGAGCTTCCACTTTGTTCTAGTCTTGTGTTTTAAATGCAATCTTATATATCCCACTAGCAAAAATGAGTAAGATTCCACTGGTCATATTATCGCAACCTGTCTGTCCCCATGTACAAAAAAATAGGTAATCTAACCATCAATTCTGTCTGTATTCAAATGTGTGTGTGACCTGTTAGCTATGTCAGACATTCTGTCACACACATACACACACATTACCTCTCGCCCCTGCCTCTCTCTCTCACATACACTCTCCTATGAGAAGATTAAAGTAAGTCTACAGCCCCCTCAGGGCCGAGGTTATTCCATAAATAGGACAGGCTCTAGCAGATAAAGCAACATAGATTCACGGTGGCTTATTGACTAAAGCAAACTAACTCAGTGTATACATTGCTGCCATCTGTGGTTAAGTCAGGGTACTACAGCATATTACTGCAGTTAAAGGGATAGTTCACCCAAAAATGAAAATGTTTATCTGCTTACCCCCAGCGCATCCAAGATGTAGGTGACTTTGTTTCTTCAGTAGAACACAAACAAAGATTTTTAACTCAAACCGTTGCGTGAATCAGAGGTAAAAAACTATATAAATACTGTTCAGTTTCTTGCACAGACCGATCGTTTCGTGTCTTTACACATCAGT